AATGCACGGGACCGCAAAGACAAGGCCGCAGCGCCGCCTTGTTTTGGGCTGCTCTCTTTATGTTTCTGTTCTTCTCTCTCTGTCTCTGTCTCTGTCTCTGTCTCTGTCTCTGTCTCTGTCTCTGTCTCTGTCTTTGTCTCTGTCTCTGTCTCTGTCTCTCTCTCTCTCTCTCTACAAGGGCAGAAGGAACGAGCGGACGCCCGAACCCCCGCGCTCGGACGCACACCTGCGAGCCCTTGCAGGGTTTTGGAGGGGTTTCTCCCCCAGTGGCCCGAAGGATCTGCCGAGGCATGAAAAGACGAAGGCCACTATGATCGCCCTTTGCCACTCGAAACATAATAACCATGCAGCACTGCCACCCCCTCCTGCCGGCCTTTTGCTGGAAGCAGGAAGAAAAACGTGCGTCACCCTACTGATTCGTGTGTGTTTATCGTCCGTTTTGCATGGCTTGAGTGAGTGGAATTATTAAGGCTTCCTTCCTGTCCCCAGAATTTCCGTTGGCTACTTTGCGAAAGGTGTGTTGGAAAGAAGCAAGGTTTGAGGCCTGATATGGGCCCTATCTAGGAGTGGGTTTGCCAGAGAAAAGTCAGGGATGAGTCCTGACCCATTTAAACGAGTTCACGAGTGAAGAATGACATGGAACGTGCAATGCGAAGGAAGCGGTTGAGGCATGCCCGCAAGTCCGACTAAAACAGAACACACCCCCAAATCAGAACCAACCAATCTGCACGAGAAAAGTTCACGGGCCGGCTCATGTCTCATTTGACTTCATTGCTCACTGTTTCGTAGCAGGTGTGCATGAATTCGTTGCGAATCTTCCATCGTTGGACTGGTCCTCCTTTGTCTCACGCTGTGTCCGGAGAGGCATGTTGAAAGAGTAAGCAAAGCTCTTTTGTCCTGTCTTGTCTATCCGCTTAGGTCCCGAATGGTCTGTTGCATTATCGAAACACGGGGCCTGTGTCGGCGCACGGCGCTGTGACCGAGCATGGGATCAAAAAGCATTCACAGCCGTAAGACTGCGCACACACGTTGAACGTGCATGGACTGCGGCTTCAGCCACTAAGACAAGATGGGTCACGCTGCTGTGTCCCAAATAAAGAACAGTCAAAAACTTCAGGCGATCAACGGCTTGCAACCCAGTCATGCTGGGGCTGGGCCGCGAGGGCACCTCAAGCACATCTTTCCCAGAGGTGCTTGAGTCATTTCCGTGCCGCTCCTTTTCTCAAGCGGCCCCGAGGGTCTTTGAAGAGCCAGTACCGACAGAACCGCCAGCGTGACAAGTACGGAACATGTAAGTCGCCCGCAGTCAAACTTCGGTATGATATATACTCTCTCTCTCTCTCTCTCTTTCTGTATTATATATGAATATGTGTATATCATTCTCTCTCTCTCTCTATCAATCAATCAATCTATCTATCTATCCATGTATCTGTCTATCTATCTATCTATCTATCTATCTACCCATCTATCTACCTGTTCATCTTTGTTTCTAACTATCTGTATACAGTATACACAATATATACAGTATGTGTATGATATGGATATATCTGTTTTCAAACATCTAGATGTTTGGATACTTGAGAGCTTTGCTTACTCTTTCAACAGGGAGATATACCTCTGCGGGTGAGTCGTGATTAGTGTAACAGAGTTCCTTTGATGGTCTTAAACGGCTCCCAACACCCTGAACCAACAAAATCCAATCTGCGATACCCCATGTCGAAGCTGTATCCAACCCAGCAATTAAACAATATCTACTGTCACTGATACCGTTGGTATCTATACTCGTTTACATGATTCCTTGTCCTTCTGAGTCTCTGGCCTGTGCCTCCCTCGCCTCGTCGAGGAAACCAGCCGCGCGCTGCCATTGCCTCGGAGCCATGAACGGCCTGTAGAAGCCGCATGTTCTGCTGGGATCTTCGTACTGTTCCCATCATAACAAGCTTGACGTTTGCGTCATAGGGGGTTGCAGTCGGCATCAGGATTTAGATCCAAGTGGCCGCTGAAAGTCAGGACTTGGGAATGCACAATCTGAATCACAAGGCGTTTGGAGTTTTGCTGTTATGTGGAGGACGCGGGCATGGGGATCGAGTGCCATCGGAATGAGCTGTGGATCCTGGAGTGGCACCCCGAGGCCAGCCTACTGCCTTCCAGGCCTCCCTGGAAGTAAGGTTGATTCATTCGAAGCGACAGCCACTCCAGCGAACATCACAACCACCGCGTCACAGCCACCACCGTCGCTGCAACAACCACCACGACCACAATAGCAACATCAGCAACGACGAAGGCAAGGGCAGTAATGACAAGGACCAAACCATGCCGCTGCAATTGCACCACCACCACCACCACCACCACCACCAACAACAACAACAACAACAGCAACAGCAACAGCAACAGCAATAGCAACAACAACAACAACAACGCCATCACGACCACGACCACGACCACCACCAGCACCACCACCAGACAGTAACAACGGCACCGCACCAGGACCAGCAGCAACAGCAACGGCAATGGAAATGAAATAACGTCGCAGAGCACATCTCTGCACGCTCATGGAAGCAACTGCGGCTAGTGGGCAGCAGCAGGAGCAGCAGCAGTAGTTGTAGCAGTAGAAGTAGCATGAGCAGTATCAGTAGCAGTAAGATGTAGTAGCAGCAGCAGAATCAGGAGCAGACAGTTAGGAGTTGTCTGCTTCGTCCTTGTTGGTGTTCCGAGGGCTTCGAATCTGCAACGCCGAGCAGAACGAAGCCCTGGGCCACAACTTTCCAGCCGAAACAGATTGCTCGTGCAGTGTTGTTCCACCAATCAATGCCTGCCTGACCTCAGCTGAAACGATGTCAGTTTGACAGACAAATCCGTGAAGAATTCACCGTCAAACCCACCATCGGGCTTACCTCCCGAGAGATCGTGGCAAAAAACCGTGTTGTGTCAGCGGCATGTCTTAAATCATAAGCCATCACCAAATCGAAGTTCAAGCCACTAACTGACTGATATCCGATATCCCTTAGCCTTAGTCAACATGGTTTCGGCAAGAGCCTCCAAACAACTCAACGTTGTGCACCTTCTGCGCTTGCGACAGGGTGCCAACTCCGTTTGCACAAGGGGATCCTATGCAACGAGAGTTAAGGTTTAGGGCCTTTCAACCTAGGCGCCGTGCTGGCTTGCTTGGCTGGGTGTTGCGGCGCGTGCTGGCCATAGCGGCCTATCCTGATTAAAGCATGGTCCGCTTTGAATCCTGGAGAATAGGTTGAAGCTTGATGGAGGTTGAGCATTCAGTTTTTGCTGAGCCTTCTGTTGTTCAGATGCTGTCGTTATCATCAGACATGTCTAGGTCTTACGATTCAGATGCTGCAGGTTCTCGTTTGAAGAGGTTGCTACTGCGTAGGCTTCGGCTAGAGTCTGCTAGAGTCTTGCAGGGTACTTCTGCAGGGCATAGGTTTACGAATTTGGGTTCAAGAACTTTCAGCCCGATTATATGCTGATGCGATTGGAGTTCTGGGGTATTCTTTCCATCCTGACCGCACGATGAAGCACCCCGGATTGGGACTGGCGCTTGGGATTGTGGCACGGGATGTTGAAGTTTGAAATGCCGACAAAGGTCCCGATGGTTCGATGCCAATAGTCTGAAGCCCTACGCGATACCTGCGTGTTTGGAGTAATGGACATGCAAGATTTCGTCTCACTCCAAAGAGCGCCATGAGCCCAGCAAACCTCGGACAAGGAGCTTTCTTGCTATAGAGAACGTGTCAAGTGGCTATTCGCCTTCCAGCTATATATGTACATAAGTATAAATTTCCATACATATACATATACCTATACATGTACAAGCATAAACATAAACATATATGACATATATATATATATATATTACATATATATATATATATTACATATATATATATATATATATATGATGCAGGGCTGCCGCACCCCCCTCCCCCGCATGGTATCCTCCCCCCCTGCGCCCCCCAGCCCCCACACTGTGGGGTGGTACCCTTCCCCTTCGCATCCCCGCCCCGCCCGTTGCAGTGGGCTCTGCACCCCAATTAGCTGAGGCTTTGGTTGGCCTGGATTGGGGTACGCAGCACGTGTAACACAAGGACCTCTTGTCACGATTAGTGACTCAACTATTGTTACACGGAACTTTAAGAGCACTTGTTCTGATCTTCTCCACCACCACTCATGTCTACAATTGCATCTACTATATGGTCGTGCGGCCCGCATCCGCTGTTCTTGAAGTTCTTGCGGTTACTCTGTATGTTCCTTTTTGCTGTGGCACCGGTGATACTGCTCATGACGTTGTGCTGCTTCAGAAGGCGCGATGCGAGTCGACAATCGGATAACCTTTTACATCATGCTCAACATCATCACTGACATCGTCATCTTCATCATCAGTACCATC